GGAGGAGAGGGACGTCATGGAAGGGGACGGGTAGCGGTCGGCGGGATCGCGAACGGCCAGGGGAGAGGAGAACAGCGGTGGCGTCTTGGCCAATTCAGAGAGGGGCGAGGAAGGAACAGTGTCAAAGTCGGGGTTTCGGGCTGCGGTCGCAGTCTGATTCGTCATGGCAGTCGCGACCGGTCGGAATCGCGACGAGGCTTCTCTTCACGAAGGCTCACGTCCTCGCAATCCATTTGGTCGTTGTCGCGCGGTCGCGGCTGTTCGGGTAGGGAATTCATGGTGGTGTCCTGATCGGAGTCAGGGTGGTCGTGGCGGTCGTGGGTCGAGCTGCGTAAAAGAGAAGGAAAGAAGGAGAGAGTGGACCAGGGTAGCGAAATCATGCGGCTCTCTTGCAGTGGGCGGCGGGCGGTCGTTTTGGGGAGCAGACTTTAGATCATGGCGCTTGTGTTCGGAGGAGGAAGAAGAAAGGTAAGCTTTCTGCAAGGTTTAAAGCCTGGGGACGTAAGTTTGTTTTGGGGGTGGCATGAGAGAAGAAGACGGAGGACGGTCCAAGCAGACGGGAGCGGGCAGGAGAATCGAGGTTCAAGGAGCGGGAAGGAATGAGTTGTCGTTGAAGAAAGGGAAATCGGCGGTCCGTCACAGTCTGACGCTTCCTGCCGGAGGGGGCCACGCGCACTGGATTCTCGAGCGGAGGCAAGAGGCCAATGAGGGGGCCCTGCATCAGGGTACATCGCGTGTGGAGGGACCGGACGAGGGTACCGGGAGAGAACCTGGGATGCGGTGAGGGGAAGCCGCCCTCCCCAAGTCTCTGACGGGTCGCGTCATTTACCTGGTCATGTTTACCTACCTGGCTGGCACCTTACGTACCTACCTACCTACCTACCTACCTAGGTAGGATGGCACAGACCGGCCAAAATGCAGCCACCTCTCCACTGAGCCTTCCGCAGTGCTGGGAGCAGCATCGTCTGAGAGCCTTTCAGAAGCACCAGGCCTGAGGCAAGCCATCCAAAGTCCTGCCGAACTTCAGCTCCCTTTGTCCTCCCAGGCTGGAGAGCATTGGCCGAATGAATGCTGTCTCGGCTTGGTGCTGACTCTTGTTCACTTCCTGAGTACGGACTGCGCGCTCAACTCTTCAGCCCTCCGTTGTGAGAAAGCCATGGCAATGGTACCAGACCGTGGTGAGATAGATCCATTTGCTTCGATCGAGGCTCAGTGCTTGCTTTCATTTCGTCAGGTACCTAGACAGGTACCTTACAGGCCGACTGACAGTGCTGTTGTGTCGCGCTGTGTGCGCTATGCTCAGTGCTGTCGCATGCCCAACACGCACGCGTTGCTCGGTTACGAGATTGGGGGGCATGCCTAGGTGCCAGCAGGGCATCGTCCGTGGCAGATGCTCAGCGGGCCACGGGTACGATCTTCGAGAACCTGGGCAGGGGGTAAGTGGGCCTTCCTCTGAGCTTCTGTGTCTCCCGTCCCAGACACCAGGCATGGGCCCGATGAGATCCACGATGTATCTGGACCCACAATTTTCAGTGTCTCCGGCTACGGCATCAGCGGACCTCAATCATGACCAGAAATTCTATGACTTGATGGATTGTGGTCGGTATTACTTGCTCCTATCTGTAGCGGATACAAAGAGCTGAAGGATGCGAACCGAAAGCCCTCGGATTCCTAGCGACCCGTTTCGGCGAATGTTCTCCGGGAACTAATTGACTTTCATAGACACACCAGGATGCTTCGCGCCGAGGACCAGCGCTTGCAACAGGCCTGCAGATGGGCGGGCCTCTTGAAGCCAGAAGAGCCACAAATGACCTGGCCGAACACTTTATTCCCTCTCCGCATGAGTCGTCAACAGGATGCTGAGTATCGCGTCGAGATGATGCTGAGAAATGGTTGAGCCTATCGAAGACGGATTAATTGCTTCCAGGGGACTTGGGCGCATGCTTTGGTGTATTCATACATAAAAAACAACGTAGAGTGACACGCCATGGTACCCAATCCGCCATTCTATTAAGTTTTCACCTTCTCTATAAGTCATCAAATTGGTCCGTATGCACACAGCCACACCCACACGCACTTTTACCCCCCAACTCCATTCGCTACATCCAAAACAAGCTCTCAACCCCTCACAGCTTCCCCGAACGCTTGTCGACGGCATCACGGAGTAGCGAGATGACCTCGGCGGGATCCTTGGCGCCGAACACGGCGCTGCCGGCGACGATGACGTTGGCACCCGCGTCGGCAGCCTGATCGATGGTGCCGGGCCCGAGGCCGCCGTCGACTTCGATGTTGAGATCGGGGTACTTCTCGCGAAGGGCCTGAACCTTCGGCAGTTCCGAGGCCATGAACTTCTGGCCGCCGAAGCCGGGTTCGACCGTCATGATGAGGACCATCTGCGAACACACATGTCAGCTGTCGCACAGAGGATTGCCAGATTCGCGGGATGCTGCAGCACATACATCGGGCCTCTCGTCCTGGTTGGGGTTCTCGAGAATTTCCCACAGGACATCGACCGAGGTTGCGGGCTTCAGGGCGATACCGGCGAGCATGCCCTGCTGATGAATGTACTTGATCAACGCCTTCGGGGACGTCTTGTTGTCGGAGGTCGTCTCGGGGCTCTCGGCGTCGGAGGAGTGGGCGGCCTCGTAGTGGAAGCAGTACAGGTCGCAGCCGGCATTCTTGAACTCCTTCACCCACTTCTTGGGCTCGGCAATCATCATGTGGCAGTCGAAGGTGCCCTTGGCGAATTTCTCCGTCGGCTGCTGGACGTGGCTGCGCACTTTGACGACGACGGGAGGGCCAAAATGTGATGTTTGGGGACAAAGTGACCGTCCTGGATGTCAACGTGGAAGCCAGTCTGCGCCATTCTTGATGGTACGCGAGCACTCATGGCCCAGGTCGGCAAAGTCGGCGGCAAGGATAGAAGGGGCGATGATGGCTTTGGGCGCCATGGTGGATGTTTCGATTCAGGTGGGTAGAGTCTGGTGAATGGTGGTGTTCAGGCGGGGGGGTGAAGCTGTCAAGCACTCAAAAGATGTCAGAACATGGAGATGGATGGCGGGGTTAATGGCATGGTGGGGTTCAATTGACGGCGATGGACGTGTACGGTCCCACTGTCGCCGCAGTAGGAGGTACCGAGATTTATGGGTCCAAATGGATTAAGTCTTGGTCGGCATGCCACCAGCCACGGACACAGTGCATGTGGCTGGTGCCTGAAATAGACTAGATTCCACTGGGGCTGATGGGGCCGCTCACCATTGGTCAGCCCCTGGGCTGTATTTTCCATTGGCCTTGACGGTGTCCGTCAAACGTCGGTCCATTTGTCCTTGTTTGACAGCGGACGACCTATAGATATTGCTGAGCCCTGAGAAGCCCGAAGACCAAGACGACGATTCACCACCTCTCTCTATCAACATCTGCATACTCTCGTATAAAGCTGCTTTGGACAACATCACCGCCAGCTCCCCCTCTCAATCGCAGTAATGCGCCTCAATCGACCGTTCAGCTTAGTCTAGGCATCTCACCACTTGGTAGCCAGCCTCGCGAACCCCCCACCTACCAACCATCCTCTTGATCGAGGCTGAGATGCCTCTCATGCTTGACAACCCCATGGAGACGACCACTCACGACGGAGACCAAGTCATGAACCATGACGCCATATCCGCCGGGGATATTCCCATGAACGGCCCAATGCAGGTTGATGGTCTCGATGTCGATGACCTTTTTGGCGATGGTGTCAACCTCACCCTACCCAATGTACGAGGGCCTAGTCGGCAGCTCGCTCAGCGTGTGGATGAGATGAGAACTCGAGGGTGTGCTCAAGGCATCGCCTGGTCCAAATCGGGAACCATCGCCTACATCTCACCTGATGGCAGATCCGTTCAAGTCAGGTATCTGCGGGCCGATCCCAAGACTGGCGGATGGGGCCTCAGCGAGCCTACTACAGTCGACGCCATCACCGCCAGCCCGTCTACACCAATAGTTCACCTCGCATGGGCCGCTACCAGTAGCAACGAGCTCGCCGTCATCGATGCCGCCGGTCGCGTTGCCATATTAGCCTTCTCCGTCTCCCTCAACCGCCCCTTTCTCACTCGCAAGTGGGATGCCGATCATGTCGACGACCTCCATGCCATCGCCGGCTGCTTCTGGCTGCCCCTCGCGTCTCAGCACAAAAATGTAAGAGCTTCCTCCCTTGAACGCGGGCTATGTGCCTCGACTCTGACCATCTCGCAGTACCACGTCTTCCATGGGCCTGCTGTCAAGGATGCCACTGCTTATCGCTACGAGAGTTCCTTTATTCATGCCTTTGGCCCCTGGCATCCTAATCCTGCCAAAAGCGCCCTCCTGTGCGTCACGACGAGTGGCATGCTTCGCTTGTTCTGGAGCCAGAGTAATAACAAGCTTGAAGAAACCACATTGGAGCTTGACAGCTTCAGCTCTTCAGACGACCTCATCACACATGCATCCCTACACAGCGACAAGAGTAAGCCGTTCCGCGAGACTCTGCCTCTGTATGCCTGCTCACAGACCCTAGATCACATGTATGTCGCCTTGGCGACTGCCTCCCGCCAGCTTCGACTGGTCCGGGTATCAATATCATGGGGCCCCCCACAACCAGATAACAAGCTACCACCCAGCGGACAGCCCCTGAATCCTACCATGACGGCAAAACACCTGGCAATATCCAGCTGGATGCCCAATGGGCAGAGCGGAAACCCCATAGATGCCTCCATGACGCAGATCTCCCATATCGAGTTGTTACCTTCGCAGCTAGACAACACTGGCCACAACTGGGTCCCCATGAACGTTCTCGTTGTTCGATCTTACCTCCCCACAGCTGACAGCCCCTTCCAAGAGATGCAGAGCGTCATAGATCGGTGGGAAGTCGGCCATGAACCATCTCCCGCCCTGCACCCTGCGTTTGAGCAGATGGGCAGCCGCAGAAACAGCAGCGCCGGCGGGAACGACAAGGTACATGTGCACTGCTCTGCATGACTTTTCTCCTCATTCTAACAATGCACAGGATCCCAACAGACTCAAAAGACTGGACCCAGTGTTCATCAACAAAGTCATTGTCGGCATGCAGACCATCCACTTCGGAAAGGCTGTCTGCGTAGCCTTTAGTGATGGCTCCGTTGAGTACCGCGACAGGTTCACAATGCAGGAGACGTACAACGAGTTGAGCCTCGACAGAGTCATGACCCTCAACCAGGTCGGCTTTACCTTTGCTGAGGGCACACCATGTATGTTCTGCCCTTATCATGACGGCGCTGCCTACTGACGCTTCACAGGCCTTCAAGTCGCATTCTCGCCTACCAACTGCTCGGTCGCACAAATTCAAGAGGATGGGCAAGTGAAGTGGAATGGACTACATTATCCGCTGGGTGACATTGGAAACTCCAACCAAGACGGTACGTTACATGGTTGCGTCAATTCTGGATAGCTTTGCTGATTCTTCCCAGCCCAGTACGCTGCAGTCATCGCGGCTCTCACAGTAGCCGCATCAGCTGCAACGTTCTACCAGGTAAACTGCGATGATATTCTAGCGGCAGCAAAACCATACGCCGACAAGAAGAGCAAGTCAATGCATACGTTACTTCTATTGTACGGAGACTGACAATCTGTGTAGCCTTCACACGAGACTGGGTTAACGAGCTTGTCCGGATGCTCAAAGTACCCGTCGACTACTCGGAGGAAGCTCATCACGAAGCCCTCGTGCGTAATAGTTCACTGCAGCTTTGCTTCAGTATCCTTAACCACCTAGGCTTCAACGGAGAGTTCAACCCGCGGTCTTCCAGCGGCAAGTTCGCCTTCCTGTCGCTCAATATCAGAAATGTCGTCATCCTGATCACTATCGCGAGCAACACTCCTACCAACATGCGGGAGAAGCTGAATCCCCTGGACGAACACGAGGTCATCGATGCCCTGTGCGGGTGTGCGCAGTGGTCTGTCGACTTGCTCGCGTATCTTGCCGATTCTCTATTCGCACTTCTCGACGACCCCAAATTCACCGAACTTCTGCAACCACGAAACTATTCAGAGATCTCCAACTACCTCCGCTCCCGAGCTGATCCTTCTCTTCAGCTGCTCCTCTGCTCCGCCACGCGCGGATTTCTCTCCGCCGTCTGTCGTCGGCTGACGCATCTCGACCAAATCTCGCACCGGGCCATTGAGTTTTACGACCGTCGCGCTGCCATGCAGAACGCCACCGACCCCTCGGGCCAGTCCAAGGTCGCCACCATAGCCCTCAACAAGTCCTACCAGAGGATGCAGCACATTATTTCCAACAGCCACATCAAGGTGCAGGACTTTGACCACCTCCTGACCACGCTCACGAGCGACATCCGCTCGACGTACCAGACAGCCTTTGCCGGCCTCGCCGCCCAGGCGCAGCAGAAGAATGAAAGCAACGGCACCGCCAACACCCAGCAGGGCCAGAAGCAGATTGATGCCCAGATCCGCGGCGCCCAAATCATCTCCGAACTCAACCTCCTGCTCGCCGCCCAGCCGCCGGCGCCGTTCCTGACCGTGCTCAAGAAGCTCTTCGGCCAAGACCTGCGCGCCTTCCGCGCCCAGACCGACCCGTCGAAGCTCTTCTTTGCCGACCTCGGGCTGCTCGAGGTGGACGACGTGCCGCGTGTGCTCGGCGCGCGCAGGGCGGCGGCCCGCTACGTCGACGTCTTCCGCCGCGTCGAGATGACCAACAAGGCCGGCCCCAAAGAGGAGACGCCCGAGGAGCAGCTGCAGCAGCGCGGCGGCCGCGGCGGCCCGCTGCAGTGGAGGCGGTGCGTGCGGTGCGCGGCCGTCATGGAAGACGTCTTTGGCTCGCGGCCGGGGTTCACGTTTGTGCTGACGCAGCAGAGGAAGTGTTCTTGTGGTGGGTATTGGGCGCTGCTCCCCAAGGCGTCCATTGCGTGAGCTGTGCTTTTCTCTCTCTTTATATCAAGGCGCCGTTTTGGACAGCTAGAGATATGCGTGCATCCACTGGTCTGGTTTACGACTGGGGGTGCCTGGGAATGAGCCGGAGAGACGACATCAGTTCATCGCATAGAAAGGCCTAATCTTGACATGCAGTTCCCTATACCAATGAGACATGATACACGCACGCCAGTCAAGGTGGGATGCTTTGTTTGATATTGGGGCTGTTGGCACTTCATACGATGTAAGCGCCGGTACGATGTGTGTTTCTGTCTGTTGCTTGCTAGAGTCTTCGCGCCTGTCACGGCGATGTACGACTTGCAATGATACCAATATGTTGTCTCTCGTCCCGGTGCGACTCGTGACACGTACCGTCACTGCATCGTTCATGTCAGTAGTGACAGGACTATTCCTCACGTCGTTGATCTCATGTATGTGACAAAAGTGGACGTAAGATAGGAGGCAGTTCAGAGGTCAAGGCCATGCAGCTGGTTTCATTCAAGTGTGTAGCCTGTAAGAGGGCAGAGTGGCAATGACGCATCGGAGCCAGAACGTCATTGGGTTACAAGTCAAGTCCTTGGCAGACACTCTCAATCATTCTCGGCCACGGACTTTGCCAGCCGTAGATGGATCACTCATAAGACACTGGTAGCACCTTGATTCCCCTTGCTATCACCTGACGGCGTGCTTCCTACATCTACCGAAGGAGGACGCTCGTGATTCCTAATGGCAGATTGAAAGTCTAAGGACACATAATCTGGTCCTGCAAATCTGCGGCGTGTTACTCAAGCCACAAGACCTCAGCCCTGGATGCCAGGTAGGGGATCTCCCGCGTCGGAGATCTGGCATAACGCGATTGGGTATTATTGTGAGCACGCCACACTCCTTACTGAAAAATTGACTTTATGGTGCATTCCCATGTTCCACACCGAGGCTGTGCTCACTCACTTGCCGTGATGGACATGCGTGTCATGCCTATGATAGAACAAAACGCCTCGACGTACCAAGCCAGCAAGATATGCGACAGGCCACTGTATCACTAGGTCTGTTGCATACAAAACCACAAGAGCATCACCATCTAGGAGAGAAACAGTAGGTGGAGGGTAGTGGCAACGCAGCTGCGGTACAAGAACTGCCATGTCGTCAAAGTGACAGGTCGTATGTCTCTTGTGAGAGGCTCCGACCCCCACGCCAGGTCGAAGGCCATGGCTCTCAGGGGCAAGTCGTGGCTCGGAAAGATCGAGTGCCGATCCCGGGTGGAATTGGTGCCAAGGCCATGAACGAAGAGTCAGTATCCCATCCCACGTGCTGCGCAACCCACTATTGGCAGCACAACAGCTAGTCATCAAACACGGCAGAGTTGAGTCTCGCTCTGTTTGCTGCTATAGGCAACCTGTTATGAGACGCTCGCGGACCCTGGGAAACAAAGAAAGCGCGGCGCCCGTAACAGTAGCAGACTATTGACGGGCGTCTTGCCCGTCGGCATACGCTGATCGGAGGGCTTCGGTCAATGGCACGGACGGGCAAGACTATTCTCAGCGGGCGAGACTGAGACAGGCGGAGGCAAGACGGGCAACGGGCCCGGATGCAAGGCCACCAGGCCATCCGCTGCGGGCTGATTCAACAACACGGACAAGGGAAACCAGGTACAGTGGCAGTGGGGATGCCTTTGTCTTGTCCTGTCGTGGAGTCGACGTGGAGCAAGCCTCTTCGTCACAGGCGTCGAGTTGAGGGGCCGCCTCGTTCCAGAGGCATCGCAGGCGCAGGCGATCGAGCATACGACAGGGGAGTGGCTTTTGAACGAGGTAGAGGACCGGGGTTTGCATTGGTGGCAGTGGCCGGCAGCCAACGACGAAGCACTCGTTTTCTTTTTCACGTTGCACGCCGTAGTGGCAAGTGGCGTTGCTGGTGATAGGCGCCATCTTATGATAAGGAAGACGTTTCCGGAGAAGCATTGCGGTCCAATGCTGTTGCGGGATACCGGGGTTATGGTATTCGGAGCAAGGTGCCTGTAGCACCTTGCTCTAGCTTCACGATGAAGGAGACGATTGCTGCACATTCGGGGGCCTTGCGAGCTTGAGAGTGGTCGACACGTGCCGCCGAGGTGTTGCATCGAGCGAAACTGAAAATGGGATGATTCCTGAGAATGCTTTGGTCAGTAGTATGACCACCCAGTGGATGTGGTCGAAAGGATAACGAGCGCGGACCACTCGACCCCTGACCTTACGGGTTTCATGCAAGTGATGGCAAGCCACAGTGCCTGTTCACCTACCGCAACCCAACCAACGCCAGATGGATATCTCGGTCATTAGAGGAGTTGGGTGACGACGGGAGATGAGTGAGTGCGACGGGAGACGGGCTTGACGCGTGGGCGGTTGAGGGGTGTCTAGGCCGAGGGCCTGGCAGCTGTCAAGGGGTATACCAGTGGGTGTTCCTTGTCTTGGGCGTAGAGTCGTCGACTGTCTCAATAGCGTTGCACCAAGGCCACCATGTCAAGGTACATGTACAGAGATACTGTATATGGGGTGAGATGAAGCCAAAGTTGGTGATTCTGATCGACACGAGCCGCCTCGAGCCGTGGCAAAGAAAGCAATGACCAGAGTGTAGAAGGCGGCAGCGGTAGCCGTATGGTTGCTGGTAGACCGGCTAATGCGCTGGGCAACAGCAACGGACGGCACTTTCAGGTAGGGGCACCGAATGGAGCATGGCAGATGGCGGGCAGGTAGGCGCTGTGCACCAAGGAAGGCAAGAGGCCGTTTGAAGAGGCTTAGACGAGCCTGCCATGAGCATGAGGTATCTACCTACAGTACCTCTTGCTACCTACCTACCTACGGAAGGCACCTTGGCCCTGGTTCTGGGGCTACCATGTACAAGAGAAAGACGGAACCCCCACCGCGCCTGCCCGCCAGCTACCCCAGCCAATGACGGACGGACGTGGGGGGCCCTTTCCCTTGTTCTCTGGTGCGAGTGGTGCCTGCCTCCACTATCTCTCTTTATCTCGGGTCCAGACGACAAACGCAAATGCGTTTCCTTACCACCCGCCACGGAGGAACTGCCCTGAGAGGGCCGGACCATCTTATCATGTTGAATGTCGCAATTTTGCCTGGTGCAACAATCACCTCTTCATCGGCTTGAACCCCTGAATCGTCCCAGTGGTTCGGTCTCGTATTATTCACGCCTCTGTATCCAACCAGCTAACTAGCTGCCTTTGACTGCCAGCTGCGCCGCTTGCGGTGGGTGACATCAGCTACTCGGAACAAAGGCACAACTGGTAGCCCCTCCAGCGACTCGCTCGAAGAACTCTTCGTTTCAAGAAACTGAAGAATCTACCGATGACACCCAAATCTAAGGGCCAGTCTGTCTGTTGACAAAGCCAGGAAGAACAAGTGGCAGAACCCAGTCAGTGCGAGAGGAGACCTCCAAAAAGGAAAAGAAACGACGGAAGCGGATACTTATTAGACCATGGCCGTGAGCTTGGCAGCCGCTGGTGTCAACCTTATCTTTCGCGTCGCGTTATCTCGCGCTAATATGAGACCCTGTACGTGTAGGCACCCAGCACCCAGCACCCAGCACCCCGGTGCCCCCATCTCTCTCCGCCTGGTCTTCTGCCAATTGCCTATGATGGTTGTGCACCACTTTACTTGGACCTCCACCATCCACCCACGTCTTTTCGGTAGTCGAGACGAGTCGAGCCAAGTGCAGAGAGAGAGCAGGCGATCAGTCATCGTCGTCTAGATCTACGCGTCAACCACCCTGTCACTCTCCTGAGGGCTTGCAGGACAGGCCGGCGAGGACAGGCACTTCGTCTTTGGTGACCATTGCGAGTGGCCGACGACATGGCTTCTTTTACACGGGCGGTACCTGGCACAGCATCATGGAACATGGGTCTCGCATGGCCAGATAAGCTCTTGTGCGAGCCATTGCGCCAGACGGATAGGAGTACTCACCAGAGAGGTGCGAAGCACTCCCCGCCTTGAAAGGAGAGGGCGAATGGATGTATCGAGGAGTCGAGGTGTCGACCTGGCTGGTTCCATAAAGTGCTTGGACGCCGCCCGCTCTTCCCGAGCTTGCGCCCGCACGTCGACACTTAGCTTCCCCCCTTCGTCGACCCCCGTCGCCCGTCGTTTGTTCTGTCCGACTGCCCCGTCGCCCCGGCCATTTTCGCTCGCAAATCCACAATTGCTCTCCTGCTCCATCGTTTCCTCCTTCATAATTCAACCAACGCCTCGCTGATCCCATCGACGGACGGGCTTCTCAGCTCAGCCCAGCCCAAATCTGCTCTGCGACGACACGGCGCATGCGCACGCGACAGTCATCTCGCCGACAGACTGCAAACGGGTTGCGCGGCATTTCCGGGGTATTGCCTGCTGTGGGGTTGCCAACTGTGCCCTCCCTGCACCATCCGCCAAAACGCTGAACCGCCTGCGCCGCTGGCACTGAATCTCACAGCATTGTATTCTGCTATCGTCAGCAGCCCCAACGCCCACCATGGCGGCCACCGAAATAGACCTCGATGACCTCAACTACGTTCCTAAATACCCGTACAACGGCACCGGAGATTCTGGAGGCGACCCCCTCAAGGATGACCTCAACATCTGGTATGAGTCTGGCGATATCGCCTTTCTCATCATATCCACGGCACTCATCCTGCTCATGATTCCCGGCATCGGCTTCTTCTACTCAGGCCTCGCCCGTCGCAAATCCGCCCTCTCCCTCATCTGGCTCTCTGTCATGTCGGCCGCTGTCACCAGCTTTCAATGGTTCTTTTGGGGCTACTCTCTGACCTTTTCTCATACTGCCGGTCCTTTCATTGGCAACTTTGCCAACTTTGGCTTCAACAACGTGCTGGTTCGCTCTCTACCAGGGCATGTTCTCCGCCGTCACCGTCGCCCTCGCTACTGGCGCTGTCGCCGAGCGCGGCCGCATGCTACCCTGCGTCATCTTCATGTTCATCTGGGCGACCGTCATCTACGACCCCATCGCCTGCTGGACGTGGAACCCTTCGGGTTGGTCCAGCCGCATGGGCGGCCTCGACTTCGCCGGCGGCACCCCGGTCCACATTGCCTCGGGCGCCGCTGCTCTCGCGTACTCCATGATGCTCGGCAAGCGTCGTGGCCACGGCACGCACGAGCTTAACTATCGCCCCCACAACGTCACGCACATTGTCATCGGCACCGTCTTCCTGTGGGTCGGCTGGTTCGGCTTCAACGCGGGATCGGCCTTGTCCGCCAACCTGAGGGCTGTCATGGCGGCCTGCGTGACGAACCTGTCGGCCTGCGTCGGTGGCGTCACGTGGTGTGTGCTCGACTACCGCCTCGAGCGCAAGTGGTCCACGGTCGGCTTCTGTTCCGGCGTCGTCGCCGGTCTCGTCTCCATCACGCCCGGCTCGGGCTACGTGCCGCTCTGGTCGGCGCTCATCTTTGGCTCTTGCGGTGCCGCGTTTGCCAACTACGCCACCAAGCTCAAGTTCCTCCTGCGCGTCGATGACGCTCTCGACATTTTTGCCGTGCATGGCGTTGGCGGCCTCGTGGGCAACATTCTGACGGCCTTCTTCGCGGCCGACTACATTGCGGCACTCGACAACGTCAGCTCGATCGAAGGCGGGTGGATCAACCGTCACTGGATCCAGATTGCGTACCAGGTGGCTGACTCGTTCGCGGGAGGCGCCTACTCGTTTGTGGGCACGTGTATGATCCTTTTCCTCATGAACATGATCCCAGGGCTGCGCCTGCGCGTGGACGAAGACGCGGAGATCCTAGGCATTGACGATGCCGAGATTGGCGAGTTCGCATACGACTACGTCGAGCTGACACGCGAGGTGCTGAACGACGTCGAGAACGAGGCGGCGAGCGGCTACTCGAACGACGGCGGGTACCCGCCTGCGGAGAAGAACAGCATTCCGCTGATGGACGCCAGGGCCTTTGCGGGGTCATCGCAGTACCAGGGCGGCCATTACGGGCCTACCGACTAACGGGCGATGCGCGGTGGCGTAGCCGATCGTGGGCGTCGGAGGGCGTGCTGTGTGCATATAATGATGGGATCGAGAGCTGCGTGTTTGACGGTTTATGATACCTGGGTTCGAGCTTGTATGCTTCCACCACCCACTGCATTTTTCCTATTTCTGTACGATATATAGACAATAGCACCACTGGCTAATCTGACGACAAGTCTTGCTTCGGACGTTTGAAGTTCTCGGACCAATGAAGGTTGATTGTGAGTAAGGGGAGGCGGAATGATGGTCGAGATGCGGTTCATGGTGGATACCTAGGGATAGATGGTAGCCAGTTGCCAGCAGCTGCCCAATGACAGCTGCACCGACTTGCTGCCTAGGTAGGTACCTCAGTTATTCAAAGGGCCGAACAGCCCCACCTCGACCGTGCAGGCAGGCAACCGCTACCATCATGAGCATTCACGTCGACGACGTGAACCTTGGCTATCTATCCGTACAGCCTCGCCTTTCCCGTGACAACAACACCAACACAATGTTTCGCTTGGTCATGTTGATCGACGTTCCTTCCTATGAATCCCCAACATGTCCTCTCGGGAACCGTCACTCGCAGACAAAGAGGTCTTCTTCGCTGAGCTCTGGGCCCTAGGCGCTGACCTCAACAGCGAAGAAGATGCCATCGATGAAGTTGAGGCCGAGCGAGGCCGGCGCTCAAGGTTGGCGCTCCAAGGCAGACCATCGAGAATCACAAAGCCAAATAAGCGCTCTATGCCTCCTGCCTTCTCCGTCTCGAAGTCGCCAGTCTCTGCCTCGCACCCTCGAAGGACGGCCTCATCCCCTCTCCCTGCAAAAGAACCGCCGACCGCCAAGACCATCGAGCGAACGCCTCTTGCCGCGATGAGGAGGCCTGGGAAAGAAGCCGCAGAGGACTCGCCCTCGGTCGTCGAAGAGACGCCTATCCCCGACTCGACACGTGCGCCGTGCCAACCCATCCATCTCCTGCGCACGACGTCCACGCCCAACCCGCCGATGAGGCAGTTGCACCCGCCGCCGCACCGCGACGAGTCGCCGTCCCTCAACGCGACGGTGAAGAAGCGCAAGCGTGACGCCCCTGTCAAGCTCGTGCCCGCGCAGCAGCAGATCTTCAGAGAGCAGCACTTCTTCTTCATCCCCAACGACGACATTGCCCCGGCGAGGCGCATCCGCATCCGCAAGGCGCAGGAGTATGGCGCCTCGTGGACGCGCAGCCTCGACCGAGCCTCGCACGTCATTGTCGACAAGGGCCTCTCGTGGAAGAACATTGAGCCCATCGTGACATCTGCTGGTGGCGCCGGCACGGCCGTTGTCGTGAATGAGACGTATCCCCTCGACTGCATCCAGTTTCGGAGCGTGTTGAACCCGAAGCAAAAACAGTACCTGGTCACGGGATATCCGAGCGAGCAGCTCGTCGAGGCACCAGGTGTGGCAGCCCCCTCTGATGTGTCTGTGCCTGCGGGATCGCCTGCGTCCCTGCAGTTGAAGCCGCCGCCGAACAACCCCAAACGCTTCGGTTACGTGCCGCCGCCCAGTACCTGCTCCCAGAGCGAGCAGTCGGCAGAGGAGGCACAGAACGAGCTGGCTGTGCCGGGGGCACCAGAAACATCCGCGGCCCACGAGGCAGAGATGGAAGACGAGCTCGCAGAACTCATCTCGCAGATGCAGGAATTTAGGGATGTTCCCTCTGACTCTGATGACGACAACGGCGACGGCGATGCCCCCATTGCAGGCTCCTCGGAGCCCCTTTCAGATGCAGAACACTCCGACGGTGAGCCGAGCGGCAAGAAGCAGAGGCCGGTGCGCGCCACCCGACGTAAGCAGATTGCCTGGGAGGAACGCTTTGCCTGCACCAGAGGCGGGCTCAAGGGACGACGACGGCAAGAACCCCAACGCGCGCACCATTGACATGCTGCAGCACATGGCCGACTATTATGGCCGCATCAACGACACGTGGCGACCCATTGCCTACCGCAAGGTCATCCTCGCTCCTCAAGCGGCAGACGCGCAAAATATCGACGGCTGCCGACGCCATCCGTCTGCCCGGTGTCGGTGCGCGCTCGCCGACAAGATGAGGAGATTGTCACGACCGACAGGTTGCGGCGTCTCGAGCACGCCGAGCGCGACCCGGCCGACGAGACGCTGCAGCGGTTCGTGCGCATCTACGGCGTCGGCAACGCGCAGGCAAGCCGCTGGATCGCCCAGGGGCACCGCACTCTCGACGACCTCCGAGCTAGGGCCGTGCTGTCGGCGAACCAGCGCATCGGCATCGACCACTACGACGACCTCAACACACGCATCCCGCGCCGCGAGGTCGAGGCCCTCGCCGCCGTCGTCCGGTCGGCCGCCGCCGCCCTCGACCCCAGCGTCGAGCTCATCGTCGGCGGCAGCTACCGCCGCGGCGCCGCGTCGAGCGGCGACATTGACCTGATCGTCACGCGCGAGGGCACGACCTCGGCGCGCGAGCTGCTCCCGTTTCTGACGCGGCTGACGCGCACGCTCGAGGCGCGCGGGTTTCTCGTTGCGGCCCTGGCCACATCGCGCGACGACGACGCCGGCGGCGGCACAAAGTGGCACGGGTGCTGCGTGCTGCCCGAGCCGGAAGCCGCGCGTCTGCACTTGGGCGAGGGCGTGGGCTCCGAACGAGGCTCAGATCCAGGCGCGCCCTCACCCGCGACGCCGTACCGTCCCGTGTGGCGCCGGATTGACTTTCTCGTCGTGCCGGCGGCCGAGCTCGGGGCCGCGCTGCTGTACTTTACCGGCAACGACATATTCAACCGCAGCATGCGGCTGCTGGCAGCCCGCAAGGGCATGCGGCTCAATCAGCGCGGGCTCTACCGCGACGTCCTGCGGGGGCCGGACCGGGCCAAGGTGACCGACGGGGCGCTGCTCGAGGGGCGGGACGAGAGGCGCATCTTCGCGCTGCTGAACGTGACGTGGCGCGAGCCGCACGAGCGGTGGTGCTGACGGCATGGCGGGACGTGGAAGGAGGCCTTTGACGGGTATTTGCACGCATGACTGGAGACTGGATTCTTTTTTCTTTTTCTTCTTCTTCTTTTTGGGGTGGTTTGGCTGGCTGGCCTGCTGGCCTGGCTCGAACGTGCCGTTGGATCGGAGTGGGCTCGTGCAGGCTCTTACTTGGATAGGCTGGCACTCGGTATGAAGCTGCAAGAATGTTTACAAATTAAAGACATGGATGGCAACATGCCGACGAGTTCATTGCATTGCATTGAAAAGTCATTCGAGGCTGACTGCTCTGCTCGTCAATCTCAAGCTCCACGAGCTGGTGTTCGTCTCGAAGGATTTGCCCCTGTAGTAGCCGCGTGCAGAGCAGAGGAAATCGCACCTCGTTGAACGCCGTCCGGGCATGCAGGAAGGGTTCACTTGATGCTCGATGCTGTATGCTGATACGATGCTTGGCGACGATGCTCGATGGTGCTCGATGCTGACATGGATGCTCGATGGTGCTACGATGCTCGGCAATGATGCTCCCTACGACGCTTGGCGCTCGATTCTCCTTGTTCATGCTAACATCATGTGTTATAATTGGAGTGTACATGGTGCATCAACCCCATCGTTGAATGCATGACCAGCCAAGCAGCACCGAAAGCTGACGAACAGCATAGCGTTGCAGGCCACAGCAAGACCAGCGATGCTCCGGCAGCTGCACACTTCGTCCCGCGTCTGCCACCAGTCGTCCATGGTCCTAACGTCGCATCACAGGCCCGGACTCCTCGAACCCCTGTCTCGCTCTGCCTCGTCCCCCATCATCAGACAAGCACCAGACCTAAAGGACATGGCGGGTGCCCTACCCGTAGCAGGCGTCTCGTGCAGCGACGGGCAGGTCACGAACCGTCGTCTCGGCCGTCAGACGCGCTTCCCCTGCCGCAGCAAATCGCCCACTTTAGGCGGCAGCACCAGCGCCCCGCGGTCGTTCCGGCGGAAGAAGTCGACGAGCGCCACGGCCGTCTTCTCGGGCAGGTCCTCGTGGATAAAGTGGCCGGCCTCGGGGAAGACTTGCAGGGCATACCGCCCCTGCATCTGACCAATAGTCAGCGTCGTATCGAGGCGGTCCGTGCCGGCGAGGAGCAGCAGCTTGCCGCCGCGAGCGGGGAAGAAAGCGGGCCGAGAGCCCGGTGATCCAGCCCTCCCAAAAGGGCTGCGTCGCGGCGAGGTCGGTGCGCCACCGCCACGGGCGAGTCGCGGTCTGCGTTCTGCTGCCTGTGTCTGCCTCTGTGTTGGTGGCAGCGGCGACGCGCTCGACGAGCAGGGCGGGCACCGAAGGTGCGCGCCGACAGGGCGTTGCGGACGGTGCGCGAGCGGACGTGCCACTCAATGGCGGCCTCGATAGAGGTGAAAGCCGGCGGGGCGCGTCGACAGGTAGGCGTGCATGCTCTGCAGGGCGTCCATGGCAGAGCCCTCGACAACGTCGAGGACTGCGTGGCCGAGGAGGCGCGGGGCCAGGTCGGGCGGCGGATCGGCGGCGAGGGAGGTGATGACGGCGCCGCCGAGCGAGTGGCCGACGAGGATCATGGGCGGCAGGGCATCGGCGGGCCAAGCCATGCGGCGGGCCGTCAGGGCGATGACGGCGGCGAGGTCGGCCGTCAAGGTCGGCAGCGAGAGGTCGGGGCGGTCCTGGTCCGGGGTCACGGTGGCGCCGTGGCCGCGGGCGTCGAGGGACAGAACGCCGGCATGGGGCAGAGCGCGGCGGATCTCGGCGGCGACAAGGGCGAAGGAGAGGGCTGACGAGCCGGCGCCGTGGTGGGCTACGAACAGGGGGCCTCCCTGCGGCGAGGGGGACGTCAGGTAGGCATGGTACGTGGTCGTGGTGTCGCGCTCGAGGAACAGCTCGCGCTCAAAGTAGGTCGTCCACGGCACGGGCTCCCAGGAGCGGCCGGGGCGCGAAAGGGCGGCGCCTGGGCGGGCGAAAAGACGCTGACTCGGCGAGGGGATGATCGTGCCCGTAGATGATGCCGACGACGCCGAGGACGAGTCGCCGTCGTCGAGGTGGTCTGGTAGTTCCGAGAGCTCATCTGCGTCGTTGTCGGGTAGCTCGTCAAAGGGTTCTGGGATGGCATCGACCTTGCGCTTAGCCCAGGCCCGCTGGAGGTCACTCATGGAAGAGCCTGGCCGAGATGGCAATGGTCGTTGTGACTGTCGGAGACAAATAGAAGAAGAGAACGAATGTACCGGGGTCAGAACAGTAGCGCAGCTTCAAATCGTCGGGAGCAAGAGCACGGGTGCCTCGACCCATGAAGCAGAAGCAGAAGCAGTATACGAACAAGAAGACGGAGACGTATGCAAAGAAGAAGAAGCAAGAGGAGAAAACATTGGATGATGGTGAGGTTAGCTGTTCATCCTCTGCAAAGAAAAAGAACCGTACGGGGACGAATATCCTGCGATGTTGGTGGCATGACGTTGGAAGCAGCGCCCCACGTCAGGTACCAAGTACCTTCCTTCCTTCCTTCCTCCTTCCTTGCCGCTGCCTGACGTGGGAAGGGAAGGTGCATGCATACGTAAGCAGCACGCACCTCCCTGCCATCGCTTTCGACGACACATGCGGCAACAGCCCGACTCGACACGCGGCAACAGCCCGGCCCGACACGCGGCACCAGCCCGACGCGACATGGCTCACTGTGCACAGCAGCATCACTTTCATGACCGTTCATTCATCCCTACTGCATGGTATCCACGAAGGGAATGGTATCTACAGCTGCGTACCTTGGCGAAGAAACACTCGAAAATCAAACTCGAGAGAAGAAAAGATAAAAACGAGAGAAAAGAAAACAGGATGGCGCCATGCCGGCCAAAGCCAAACGAGCACAATGCGCAGATATGTAGAAGCCCTAAAGGAGTGTAGGATGGTGCCGAGGAGGTGTGGGGGCTGGGCCAGAAGCCGTGCGACGACGTGTGGGCATCTCTCTTGTTTGCAGGTGAAAATAAAGGCAAGTCGTATTCCCCCAACTCCTAGAGCACCGACGCCTAGAGCACGAGAAGAGGCGTGCCGAGCTCCACCCCTTGTCGTCGCCGCCTCCGATTATGCAGTGGTGCTGTTTGGCATGTCATCCTCCTCATGCTATACGTGGTTCAAAACCCCCGGTAGCCGGCCCCTTGACCGTACCCTCCCCTGACCGTACACCTGGTTGTGATAGAACTGTCTCCTTCGGTTCTCGCTCCATGTCCAGCATCGCTGTTGCAGTTTTTCGGCCTGCCTCTTGCGGGCCGCCCTATGACGTGAGTCTTCTCTGTTTTTTGTTTTTTTTTTTTTA